ATGAGAATAGAGAAAGAAGAAGGGTAAATGGAATTTTGAGGCATTAAGAGCTTCAAAATTGGTTGTTCATGGTTGTTGGAGTATTGATGACAATGGCAATCTTGTAATTACTTGAAGATGATGAGGGTGAGAGAGTAAATATGTTATTTTCGAAAAAAAAAACTGATGGCATTTTCGTGAATTATATGAACTTGTGGGGTGAATTGGGCAAAATAAAATTCCAAAAAAAAGGAGGTTAGTTTTGTGGTTGACTTCAAATTTCAGATCAATTCTGCAAAAACCCCAATAAAAAATGGGTGATTTATCAAAAGGAATTTGGCACCAATAACCGTAGCAAAAATAATAATTTAACCACTAACCATAACAACTCAATGACTAAAATATTTTATGTATAATCTAATATATATTAATTCTCTTTTTATCCTTCAATTGCAGATGCACATATTTGTTTTTGCGCTTCTATAATATACTTTATTCTCTTTCTCCACAATACATTCATATATTTTTTCTCCATCTTATGACTCTTCTTCGATACGATGAAAATTATATTGATTGAAAAGAAAGTGTTACAATCGATATTTAATCAGTGACAAAATTAAAAAAGTTAACTGTGATTAATTATTCTAAATCAACATGAAATGTAAGAATAGAAAAATCAGAGAATGAATTGACGAAGAAGATAAACAGTATTATGTATGTTGTATAGTCTATTCTATTTCGATTGTACAGATAAAATAGAAATTAAATTTCAATTAAGATAGCATATCAGATTTTTTTTCCATCTCCTATGGTGGTTTATTTTTCTCATCCATTAATCCAACGACAATTCTACCAACTATTCCTCATCTGTCTCCTTATTTCAATTCCCGTATCTGAAAAAATGTTTAGTTCAATTGAGATGTATTGTTCTATTCTATTTGACGTCATGGAATAGAATGTTTCCCTTACAATATCTTTCTGTATACATGTTTTTGTTCTTGCTATGTGTTTCATCATCTTCTATGTCTGCTTCTCTTTTCTTCTAACTTTTGTTATTCTTTCTCTTCTTTTTTCTCTTACCTCTCTTCTTTTTCTCTCTTCCTCACATTCTTACTATATCTCTCATTCACCTAGTTTTCTTCGGTTATGTAATATGTTTTAGTTTTTATTGTGGTTAGTGGATTTGATGTCTTCTTTTTGTCGCTTATTCAATAATATGTCACAGTCATGTATAGTATAGTCACATAATTGTTTAAACTCAATCTCATAACTAATTAACACATTTGTGTGACTATACTATGTAGTATATAGTATAGTATGATATTTTTTAGCTTTGAAGTGTCAACATTCCACACACGCACCTGAAAGGAAAATTTGATCATATTTGTGCACAAATTATCACATCTACTGTATCATAGCTCTATTCTTCATTTTCCAATCTCTTATGAATATAGAGCAAACAATGCCTTATCTAAAACTATTTTAGTTGATCAGGAAAAAGAAAAAAAAAATCAAAAAGTATTTTGATTTTTACTCAATACTAATGATCTGATCCAAATAATAGTAGTGGCTCAATGGGTTCCATGAGCTTTATAGTTGATTATATTAATAATCTCATCCAAATAGTAGTATTGGGTTAATGGGTTCCATGAGCTAGCTCTATAGTTGATTATGTGTTTTTCAACAATCCCAAAACTCTTGATCCATCAGAAACAACCCCCATGATTTAGAAATATTATAAATGTGTTGTGGTATGATGGACACAAAGAATCATCTGTTCGGGGACGAAGACATCTTCGGTACATTGCACGGGTGATGAAAATGGTAAGTGGGTTTCTTGTTGGCGTTTGTGTTCTTGTGGAAGAAAATATATTTCCTGATAAATGTGGTTGAAAGATTGAAACTTTTGTTACTTCTCATCATTGTCCTCATTGAAGTTTGGCTTTATGAAATTGTCTTTAATCTATTGTCTAATCCTTCTTGTGGCCATCAAGTACAAATATATGGCGGACAATAAGGATTTGTGTCTTTGTCTTGTATTAAGTGCACAAATTAGCTATAAAAATCCACACACGGCCGTTTCCTAAACGCTAAAAGTGATTAACATAATGGAAAATTGTATAAATTGGAACAAACGTCGAGTAACTTGTAAACTACGACGAAATATACGAAAACCGACACAGCTTGTTGCAACTTGCGGTGTCACTAGCTGTTAATGACCTATAGACATTGAACACGAGAGCTTGTGTTTAGAATATGGACGTGCCATATCATATTTTTCAATTGAATCTCAGAGAAATATTAAAAAATGGCATATAGTATTTTACTAAATTTGGAATCTTTTCATATTTCCTGCAAAAAAAGAAAAATTGTCGCTGTTGCCAACATCTCTCTCTCTCCATCTCAGTTGCACATGTGCAACACAGCCACACGCTAATTTCTAGTAAACTCACATAATCACATTACTAATTAACTCCCTCATGTATCCAAAACAATGATAACTAGTTTTTGTTGTTACTTTTAAAATAGTCCACGATTAAAAATGTATATAAATACATAAATTCCTCATATAGTTTATACATACTGAAATTTATTTGGGGAAACTGTTTTTTTAGACCAAATAGGTTTGGACATTGTCCCTTTAAGCTAAATTATATTTTGTACCAATTTTGACTTTAATGCCCTTTATGTATTTTCGAAATTATTAAAAAAAATAGATATATGAAGCAAATTTTTTTTTAAAAATAGTACATAATGATGAAATCTCTATATCTATATAGTGATATTTTTTTCTTGTTTTAAAAATATGTAAATAATAATTTCATATATCTATTCTACCGAAATTAGAATATGTATTCTACGGATTAGAATACGAAATCTACTTTTTTCACTATTTCTACGAATTGCAGAATATGTTTTCTACGGAGATAACATGAATCTAAAATAGTTTGGAATACACATTCCACGCTTATCATATAGTTCTAAAAAGAGTAGAAGTTGAAATCTAAATTCGTACTTAAATCTAAGACAAGTAGAAGTCATAATCTAAATTCGCACAACGTTCTAATACACGTAGAAACTGATTTCGTATCTTTTTACACATTTCTACGTTTAGTAGAATCTGAATTCTACGGATAAATATTATTAGATCCGAAAATATAGCAAGAATATCTTAGAGAATATTCTATTACCATATTTAAAACTCCATTTTTTTTAAATATGGGGTTTTTTAATTTTTTAATTTTTATTTTATTTTCAAATATACTTTTTAATTAAATCAAAAATATATTATTTTATTTTTTTAAGTTTTATTTTTTTTTTTAAATTTCGAATATACTTTATGATCAAATCGAAAATATATTGTTTTTAATTTTTTAATTTATTTAATTTATTTAATTTTTTTTTTAATTTCTAATACAAATTTTTAATCAAAAATAATAATTTTATTATTATTTTCTAATTATAATTACGAATTATTAAGTTTTATTTTTATTTTTTAATTTCAAATATACTTTATGATCAAATCGAAAATATATTGTTTTTAATTTTTTAATTTTTTAATTTTTTTAATTTTTTTTTAATTTCTAATATAAATTTTTAATCAAAAATAATAATTTTATTATTATTTTCTAATTATAATTACGAATTATTAAACTGTTCTAAGGGTATTATTGCCATTTAGAAAAAACTTAACCTAATGGGACAATAACTAAATGAGATTAGATTAAAGGGACAACTTCCTAATGGTTTAACTTCCTAATGGCTTTGGTCTAAAAAAACTATTTTCTCAATTTATTTTTGTATAAGTTTGTGGTGATCATATCATATTCCCAGGTGCAGATCTAAACTAACTCACAAGTCAACTATTGTAATCAATAGGATTTAAAAATGGTTTGTTGATCAACTATTCGAATTTTGTTGTGGCTACATTGTATTAATAAGCAATCATGCTTGGACAATTATGATATTGCCATCACATAATTACACCATATATATGACTCTAATTCCTTACCAAAGCACGTGCCGTTTAGGGACGAAAGATTTGGTAAGCAAAGTATGGGATCAACATTGCTTGTCGTGTTAGCTTTGTCTTCTGAGTTGTTTAGTTTTGAATTAAATACTTTTACTACTGTGTCATTACACAACTGGTTTTTAGTACATATGCCTTTCTTTTCATGGCAATAGGTCTTTTCGAGTAGAAAGGTGTATTTTTATCCTTGTAAATATATTTGCTTTCAAAGATATATAATGTTATGTAGATAATCTCACATGAAAAATACAAGAATATCATTGAGGAAACCAAAGATAAAATACAAGGATTTCTGCAGATTCTTCTAGATAATATCATTCATTTTATTTATTTTTAAAAGGGGATAATTTGTAATTGTAGATAAACGAAATAAAACATATTATCTATAAACGAATTTATATATATTTTAGTATATTTTCATAACCCAAAAGTGACAAAAGAAAGTTGTTGAAGTCTTCTTGGATGTTTTCCATATCTTATACGAATAATCGAAAGTAGAAAGAACACAACGCACAACATCCTGATATTCTTAATAAATCATTGTACTCTTATTATCAAAAAAATGAATTACTTTTCAGTATATATTAAAATAAGGAAACCTAGCTAAAAGCCTAAAACGATTCGCTAAATAGTTTATATATCTGATTAAATGTTCATTATTATTTGAATTGTTTAAAATTATATTTCAACTATATATACAGAAATTGATATAATTTATTAACAATTATATAAACTAATAAAAATTTATAAGAGATATTTTATGATTGTCAAAACAAATAGAATGGTCAGATATGAATTTTCAATTATTGATTATTTATAAAATATTTTGTAGTAAAATATATCAGTATTGGCATAATAAGATTTTCAACTCCATTAAAGAAAAATATTAATAATAAATTTTGAAATCTAAGGGAAAACAATAAAAAAAAAAAAAGAAAGACAGAAAGGAAGAGAAGGAAAGGGATGCATGTGACTAATCACGCCTCCACCTCAAAAAGACACAACACACACACTCTCCTCTCTCTCTCTCTCTCTCTATCTCCGACCATTCTCTCTTCAAATCTCTCAACCGCGCTCCGCCGTGGTGGGGAGAGAAGACACAGACACAAACACACACATCTCTTATTACATCTCCATGTCTTAATCACACAATCTCTCTCAAGATCTATCTGATATATTCCTCCCTCAAATGCTCGCCAAGAATCGGCTGCCCGGAAGCGGCCACACCACACCATCTCCTCCGGGCTCCCCTCGCCGCTCTCCTCGTTACCGTCACTCCCGGTCAAAACCCTCCGCTAGATTCCCCGCCACGGTCCCGCCGAGCAGGACCTTGGCGCATCGAGTCTCGTGGATCATATTATCTGCGCTTCTGCGGCGGCAGGGGGTTTTCTTGTTCGCGCCGTTAATATACATCTCGTGTATGTTGCTTTACATGGGGACTGTGTCGTTTGATGTTGGGCCTATTATAAGGCATCGATCTCCTCCGGGATCTGTTTATAAAAGCCCACAGCTTTATGCTAAGCTTAGGCATGATATGGATGCTGATAACTCCTCTGCTGATGCGGTGAGATTGCTTTTTTTTTTTGGTTTCCCACATTGGCTTCATCAGTCTTTTCTTTTGTAATCAAATAGTCCCTCTCAAGGAGAATTGTTGAACCCGGAGTGACTACTAGAAACTTCCTTTACCATTAGGCCAACACCTAGTGTGGTGTCTTTGTTAACTTGTAAAGGCTGTTCCTTTATTGATTTAAGCTCAAATGTACTTTGAGAGAAAGACTGTTAGATTTAGAAGTCTAAGTTAGTGCTGGGTTTGTCTCTTACCCTTGAAACTACTGTTAGAACTTAGATTAGGAGATTTTTTGGTTGGATGTGAACCTTGTTGTATTATCATGAATGTTACTTTTGGTTATGTGGCTGTTTTGCTAGGCTGTTATATGGTTTGAGTACTGCGTTGAGAATTGTAATGTTGATTTGTTAGGCACAATTTTTTTCTAACGTGTCATTTAATTGAATTTCATATCAGATATCAACGATTTGGAAACATTCGTATAAAGGTGGGGAGTGGATGCCGTACGTGAACAAATCCACTGGAGGTACTGTCTGTACTGCATTGTTTTTTTGTCATTTCTTCATAATGTTGCTTCTCGTTTGCAGTAAGCTGAGGCGTTTCTTTTTCAAACATTCTCACTTTGATTGAATTGGACTCTGGATATAATGTACTAGAGTAAAGTGTCTGTACATTCTGCAAAGTCCTGCCTGGAGCTTAGAATTAGCCTGCTCTTTGGACATAATTTGATTACTTACGTATTTGTTTTTTTAATAATTGTAGCATTGCCGGAGTCGAATGGTTACATATATGTTGAAGCAAACGGAGGCTTGAATCAGCAGAGGACATCGGTAGGTTTGTTGATCTTTTCATGATTCAATGCATTTAGCTCAATCTTGCTTAATGTCAAATCTTTTGACTTGTCTCTACTATGTTATATGCTTAGATATGCAATGCGGTTGCTGTGGCAGGCTATCTCAACGCAACTCTAGTCATTCCCAACTTTCACTTTCACAGCATATGGAGAGATCCAAGGTTATTATACATTGCTTTCTTTTGAATATCTTGTCTTGGTGTCTTTTATGGACTGCTTTTTAACAGAGTTTTTGTTTGCAGTAAATTTGGGGACATCTATGATGAAGAGTTCTTTGTCAATACCTTAGCAAATGATGTACGAGTGGTTGACACAATTCCTGAATATATAATGGAGCGATTTGACAATAACATGACAAATGTCTACAACTTCAGAGTTAAAGCATGGTCACCTATTCAATATTATAAGGACTCGATCTTGCCTAAGCTACTTGAAGAGAAGTAAGTTACAGCGTGTTCTTCAGAAGATTGTTTTCTCATGCTAGAGTTGGTCATTGAAAATGGTTTTCTTTATTTGTCACAGAGTTATACGAATATCACCATTTGCAAATAGACTTTCGTTTGATGCTCCTCAACCTGTCCAGAGACTTAGATGTTTGGCGAATTACGAAGCCCTGAGGTTTTCAGAACCCATACTAACACTAGGAGAAACACTGGTGAAGAGAATGAAAGAGCAAAGTGCAAACCACGGAGGAAAATACGTATCTGTGCATCTGCGCTTTGAAGAGGTTTGTTCCATGTAAAGAATAGACATCTTTAGAATCCCCATTGGTCTTTATCATGGAATGGAGAGCCTTTTTTTTTGTCTGAAGTAAGGGATATATCTACATGTTGCAGGACATGGTAGCTTTCTCCTGTTGTGTATTTGATGGTGGCAACCAAGAAAAACAAGATATGATTGCAGCAAGAGAACGAGGATGGAAAGGAAAGTTTACAAAACCAGGCCGTGTCATTAGACCTGGTGCTATCAGACAAAATGGGAAATGCCCTTTAACTCCTTTAGAGGTACTCATCACTTCCTTTTAAAATATCTCAAAGAACCCTTGTAACCCATACTTGGTTCATGTTTGGTGTATATTTTTCTTGTAAACCCTTCAGGTGGGCCTAATGCTAAGAGGAATGGGTTTCAACAAAAGCACATACATTTTCCTTGCATCTGGTCAGATATATAATGCAAATAGAACTATGGCCCCGTTACTAGAGATGTTCCCTAATTTACAAACTAAGGAGATGATTGCATCAGAGGAGGAGCTTGCTCCATATAAGGTCTGCTTCTTTTCCCCTCTCTTTGTTCCAAAAATAAATCATTTGTTTCTGACTTTGAAAATCTGTGTTTAGAACTTCTCTTCCAGAATGGCTGCCATAGATTATACAGTCTGTCTCCACAGTGAGGTGTTTGTGACCACACAAGGTGGAAACTTTCCTCACTTCCTCATGGGTCACCGGAGATATCTGTATGGAGGACATTCCAAAACTATTAGACCGGACAAGAGAAAGTTAGCAATCCTCTTTGACAATCCCAACATCGGGTATTCACTTTCTTCCACTCCTTCACAAGTTCCACGTTTAAAACGTCCAGATAAAATGATATTTATATCTGTTTTGATTTGCCCTGCAGATGGAGGAGTTTTAAACGTCATATGCTAAACATGAGGTCTCATAGTGACTCAAAAGGGTTTGAGCTAAAACGACCTAATGACTCCATCTACACATTCCCTTGCCCTGACTGCATGTCCCGTAAGAACAGGACAACGACCTCAGATTCTAGACATCCACCCGTTGCCACCTGAAAACACACGCTCTCGTTTCATTGCCGGCCAAAGGCTGTGTTCATTCATTCCTTGTAATTCTAGTTCTTTCAAATCAGAGTGGACTTTGACGATTTGGACCTCCCCAGAGTTGTAGGAAGACAGCGTTTGGAGGGGTCGCTAAAATGTCTATTTATATCCTGGGCCGAGGAGTAACAGCCACTATATTGTTTGATAGGTTTGACACATTGAAGCTGACGCATCTAACATGGGAGGAAATTGAGGTGGTCAAAGAATAGGACAGCGTTTGGATGTTCACTTCTTCTTTTTTGGGTGTTTTTGCGGTTTGAAGCGTTTGCGTTTTGTACATTTATGTAAACGCAGACGGTTAGAGTCTTTTGTGTTAGGAGATATGTAGAGAGACTAACAGGGGGGGGGGGGGGGG